CATTTGGCTAAAACAGTAAATGTGAAATTTAAATATTAAGAAGTCTTTTGAAAATTTTACTGCTCAGACATTCAAAATCCCCAAGATAACAAGATATAGCATATACAAGTGACTATGAAATGTAACTTAGCAATATAATTTATCAGTGGCATCACCATACATTTTGATGTGTACACACACACAACATCTAGACTTTCTTCATTCAAAATGTAAAGTTAGTTTTCTTGTCAAACAGGAAACAGAAAAATCCTTTTTGTGAGTTATAAAAACTTTTGAATGTAAGTCTATTAGGTTAAATAAAATTGTGATGGAGTTGCCAAACTTTAAATCTGGGACATTAAAAATGGTTGAAATAGAACTTAAAGGAGCTATGTGATAGGATATAATCTACCTTTCTATCTATGCATCCCCCAAAGGTCAATCATAATTGTAAATAAATAAAAAGAATAAAATGAAGACTCTTCTTTACCTCCACTATGTCTGGAGGAATCTGTAAGCACCACTCCAAAATTGTGGTTTGTAGCCTCTGAAACAACAGGGTGCTTAGGGATGCCCAGGGGAGGAGAGGATGCCTGGGTGTTTTTTGATGATGCTGTTTTCTCTACAAAAGTAAAAAAATAAAATAAAATAAATCAATGCAACTTAAGATTACTTATGTAAAGTTTTTTTTAAAAAGTACTATGAAACTTAACTGATATATAAATATAGGTAGAGATATAGCCACCCCATTAAATAAAATACCCATATTATAAATTCTTAGTTAATCTTAAGAACCAAAACAATTACTCTGTCTTTTTCTAGCATCTTTAAGAGAAAGCTGATATGTTCTTTCTTCATCATGTTAACTTTAACATTGGGAAAAGAAGTGAAAAATTCAAATGAAAAGTTTTTCAAACTATTAGCCCTTTTTTCGTATGTATTTCTTAGCAAAACAACTGTCTAAACAATTCATTATGTAAAAGCTTCTGCTAGGTTTTTTTCATAGAAAAAGGTCACGATAAGTTTTAACATTTCATAGCCAAAAAGTAAAATGGGGTGTTTTTTTGTTTTGTTTTGTCTCTGTTTTTGGTACCAGAGCTTGAACTTGGGACCTTGTGCTTGTGAGGCAAGCAGGGTGTTTTTTTTTTTAAGAATATTTTTTGGGGTACTGAGATTGAACTCAGGACCTTGCATCTGCAAGGCAGGTGGTGGCACCACTTGAGGTAAATCCCCAGCAAAATTGGATGTTTTTTAAAAATTGAAATACATTCTTATTATTTATAGGTCACTCTAAAAATAATTATAGACTGATGGTGAAAATTAACTGAAGTTACATTTAAAATAGAAAGTACTCATTATATGCTGACCAGAATTAGTAATTAGATGAAAGGGTCTTTTACAGAGGTCAATAGAGAACTTCTCACTTCTCAGACCTTCTTGGACAGTGGCAAATGGAAATACTCTTCCCCCCAGTTCCCATCTCCATCCACTGGCAGCCTTTCAGGCTGGGTCATGACAGCATCTTCAGTTTAATTTCCCTCAAGTGCTGCCCCACTGGAAGAAGAGCCATCCCTTGAGCTCTTTCTGAGCACTGTCTTTTGAAATCTCTCACAGTACTTGTCATATTCTGTTGTCTCTGCCTGGACCCTTGCCCTCTTCCAGTCCCCTCATACCCCTCAGCCAGAATCATCCTGTTAGACCACAGGGCACATTGTATCACTCTCTGTTAATAGGCCAGCTCCGCCCAGCTCACAGAGAGGCAAAGCCAAAGTCCTTGCAAAGTCCACAAGACTTTACACAATTTGATGACCTCGTCATCTACTTGAGCTCCTTTCCACTTTAGCTGCCGACTCACTTTGCTCCCATCACTAAGGTGACACTGGTTCTAGGGACACACCAAGCATACCCCCACCTTAGGACCTTGGCATTTGCTATACTCTCTGTTGGGAGTGTTCTATCTATATGCCTCCCTCCCTCCCTTTTATGGCTTGTCTAGATATTATCCCTAAGGCCTCACACAGCCATGGGAAGGAGTGTGATTTTTCAGAGGTGGCTGAATCTAGAGTGTGTGTGGCGCTGGGATCAAGAGTATGTGGTTACTGAATCAGTTCACTGATTAGTTTGGCATAGTTTTGGCTAGGACTAAGGGTGTGAGTGTTATACCTACCTTAGGGCCAATAGCCAACATAAAATATAAGGGAAAGAAAGAGGGTTAACAATGTACTCTCACCTGCCTGCTTGCTGTGGACTATTTCTCCTCTACAATGCCCCTCTGTCATGCCACCCTGCCTTGGAGGCAGCCGACTATGAATTGAAACCTCTACAAACTTTGAGCCAAAATAAACCCTTCCTCCTCTAACTTTGAATGTTTGGTATTTTCATCTTAGCAATGAGGAAAAGTAACTAAGACACTCTCCTCCTGCAAGCCTACTGCCAACTGATCACTGTGGAATACCTGGCCACTTGTTTAAACTATGACAACTCTTAGCCCACGTTTCCCATATCCATCCCCTAATTTATTTATCTTCCTAACACCACCTTCTAATATACTAATAAGTTAGGTATAAACTTCTCCCAACTAAAAAAATGAACTTCATGGAGGCAAAGAGTTTTGTCTACTTTGTGTACTACCAGATACATGAAGGCATTTAGTAAACACCAACTGAACTGAATCAACTTCTGTTTTGCAGTTGGTATCTAAGGATGGATATTACATTCCTTATGGAAGTACAAGCTCTACTGGGATGGTTCTGATCTTGACCATCTCTGTTTTCCCTGCATTACTTATTCTAATGCTGCATATCATAACTCTCAAGAATACCTGTGGAATATTGAATGGAATACTACAACTACTCAAATGTGGCCCAAGAAAAGATGCTATAATAAACTTACTGCGAGCATTTATATCTAAGAATCTCTACTATCCAAAAGGATTCTTACTAATCACTTGGCATCAAGACAGCCAGCTTCTTTCTTTCTCCAATGGAAGGTTATACTCACCTTTGCTGGTTCGGAAGGTAAGCATGGCAGGCTGTCCTTCACCTGCGGCACTTCTTGCCACCATCAAAACCTCATAAAGACTGGATGGCTCCAGTTCTGTTAACTGTAGCTCGTTTTCACTGCCAGGAACTCGAACAGTATGCCAGCTCCCCACTACACCAGCACCATCATCCAGCTGCTCAAGAGAAACCCCAGAACAATGAGAGAAGGAGGGCAGGAAACCTTTGCCCAAATCTAATAAAAGCTGGAATTCATTTGATTCTAGAGGGCTTTGGGGGATGATGTATCATTGCAAGCAAAGGAGACACATATTATTCACATTAAGAAACATAATTCCTCAGCAACCACTCAGGAAATCTCACTGTCAAGAGATTCCTGAACTTCCCAAAGTCTGTTTCCTTCATTGTAATAAGGACATTACCCTGCTTCTCACTGGGCTAATGGAAGAATTAAAAAAGTATATAGTATTGGTGTTACAAAGCACACATATGATAAACCGAGAGAGATGCTATATTAAATATGTTTGTATGTATATGAACTATATAATTATGGATGAAAGATTTCCAGCATTCTTGCTTCATGGGTTCATTCTTGCTTAGTGTGTGTTAGAAGAAATATAAAGACATCCAATCAGCTGTTGCCTGATTAATGAAACCAAGAAACAATAGTGCAGAAAGGTTTTAGGGTAGACAAAAATTTACTTTCCTTCATCTACAATCATTAGCTTATGAACAGAGTGTAAACTTCCCAGTATCATGATATTGGTTTTTCCAGTCACTGAAAATATTAGTCAATAATTAAATAATATATATCAAAATGTCTTAAACAAAGAAAGTGATTTTAAATATGAGTACATCTCCTCCCATTTCATTCATTTACAAGTCTCATTAAACAAAGGAGCTTTTTTATTCTACCGTAATACAAGCCCACGGAGGAAAAATATTATATGAAGAATCAACAAAAAGCGGCCTACGGTTTACTAAAATAAATGACCAAATAATGTAAGACTCTAATATAATTAAGAGGACTGCCTAAAATGTAAATAACTCTCAGAAATTTTGCCAGAAGATTTTGTTCAAAGTTGTTTCTAAAAATAAACCGCTTTATTTGCTGAATAAATTGTATCCTACAATCTTAGCAAGGGATGGAATTACAGTTTTAAAATGGTTTATAGAGCTTGACACCAAAAGGATAAAACAAAAAGTTTGATTAAAAAATATGAAATGGTTACTAGGTTTTCAGAATCCCAATTTGGGGAAAATTGTCTATAATTCATTTTCATTACTTTCATAAGATTGATCAATCCATCATTAACAGATCTGACAAACTCATAATTCTAGAATGCTCTCATTCTGTTTCCTACTCTTCCACAAATGTGAAAGACAATAAGCACATATTATACAAGTAGGGTGATGGTGTGAGGAGAGAAAGATGATAAATAGGAAGGCATTACCTTTCGATATTTCACAAAATAGGCGTTGATGGGCAATCCACCGTCCTTGCCTGCTCTCCATACCAGATGGTACGTGTCTACCGTGTGGGTCTGTGGGGGGCTCAGGATGATGGGGGCATCAGGGACATTGGTGCTACTGGCATTTTTTTCTGATGGTGACTCCACTGCACCGGGATGCCCCTTCAGTGGAAATGAGCTCAACAAGCCAGATTCTGAACTATCTCTGTGGTCTCTTTCATCACTCTGAATAGCATCAGAAGGTGTGATTGTTTCTGCTTTTGTATTTGTTTCAAAAGGAACTGCAGGAAGACAGACCACAGACAGAGAGAGGGAAGAGATAGTTTGAAAAAAGTTCATTATTTCATTGTCTTCTACCCAGGTGGTAATGTAACTGCCCAAACTGTATTATTAGTACATTTGAGCCCTTAAAATTAAAACATGGCAACATCTAAACTCTAGTCTCTTGCTCATGGCAGAACAAATGAATTGCTTGAAAATAATTTTATGATATGATAGTTGAGTAGCTTAAAGAATTTTATTTTTCCTTTGCTTTATCCTAGCAGCCCTCTTTACTAACAATTTGCTGGAGCAAGCTCAGAAGATCTAAGTTGATAAATAAAGCAGAGATGGTAAATAAAACACAATGGGCGGCTGGGCCCGGAGGCTGGGACTTCACTCCTCGCATCGCGGGAGGAGCAGCCCAGTTCCATCAGTTGCAGCGCCACCGCGCCTGGGCCTGAGCGACGATGAGCGGCAGAGTCGGGGACCCGAGTCCCAAACAGAAAGAGGCACTGGCCAAGTTTCAGGGGAATGTCCAGGGTGTGTTGCCTACCCTGCCGAATCCAGATGACCGTTTTCTCCTGCGCTGGCTCCGAGCAAGAAGTTTTGACCTGCAGAAGTCAGAGACCATGCTACGGAAGCATGTGGCGTTCCAAAAGCAAAAGGACATTGATAACATCATTAGCTGGCAGCCTCGAGAGGTGATCCAGCAGTATTTATCGGGGGGCATGTGCGGCTCTGACCTGGAGGGCAGCCCGGTCTGGTACGATATCATTGGGCCTCTGGATGCCAAGGGTCTGCTGTTCTCAGCCACCAAGCAGGACCTGCTCAGGACCAATATGCGGGACTGCGACCTGCTTCTGCAAGAGTGTGCCCATCAGACCACAAAGTTGAGGAAGAAAATAGAGACCATCACCATGATTTATGACTGTGAAGGCCTTGGCCTTAAGCATCTCTGGAAGCCTGCAATAGAAGCCTATGGAGAGTTTCTCTGCACGTTTGAGGAAAATTATCCTGAAACAATGAAGCATCTTTTTGTTGTTAAAGCTCCCAAGCTGTTTCCTGTGGCCTATAACCTCATCAAACCCTTCCTGAGGACACTTGCAAGAAGATCATGGTCCTGGGAGCAAACTGGAAGGAGGTTTTACTGAAGCATGTCAGCCCTGACCAGTTGCCTATGGAATACGGAGGTACCATGACTGACCTGGATGGAAACCCCAAGTGTAAATCTAAGATCAACTATGGGGGCGACACCCCCAAGAAGTATTACGTGCGAGACCAGGTGAAGCAGCAGTATGAACACAGCGTGCAGATTGCCCAGGGCTCCTCCCACCAAGTGGAGTATGAAATTCTCTTCCCCAGCTGCATCCTCAGGTGGCAGTTTATGTCAGAGGGAGCAGATGTCGGTTTTGGGATTTTCCTGAAGACCAAGATGGGGGAGCAGCAGCGGGCAGGGGAGATGATGGAGGTGCTGCCCAACCAGAGGTACAATTCCCATCTGGTCCCTGAGGATGGGACCCTTACATGCAGCGATCCTGGCATCTATGTCCTGCGGTTTGACAACACCTACAGCTTCATTCATGCCAAGAAGGTCAGTTTCACTGTGGAGGTCTTGCTTCCAGACAAAGCCTCAGAAGAGAAGATGAATCAGCTGGGGGCAGAGACCTCAAAATAATGCCTCCTCCTCTAGGCCTGGCCGCCAGTATTGTTTTTCTTGTAGCAGTCATTTTTCTACAACCCTGCAGCCCAAAGAAACTGCGCTGGAGGGTAGATTTCTGGCTGGATCTGGGAACTTTTTGCATCAGAATTAGGAAGAGGCCAGTAGCTGGAGTGGGTCTCCTAGCTTCTCAAATTACCAGGGAGTCCTCAAGGGCTGGTATGTGATAGAATCTGTCCTGAAGACCCTGTCAACTTTCCCTTTCCAGTGACAGCCGAGACAGGGAGTAGAGTGGCAATGGGCAGCGGCAGGGAAGAAATAAGAAAAACGGGGAGAGAGTGGGAACTTCAGGAAAGCCAGCTGCAGAGGAGAAACTTGCTCCCTAATGAACGTGGAAGTTCAGATGGTAATAAGAGGAAGCAAGATTGCTAGAATTACAGTGGGGACTAGAAGCTCTTCCAAACTTTTTTTTATTATTGAGGCTGAGGTATCTTTTGGCTTTCACCAAGTTTCAGGAGTGACCCAATTCAGCACAGATCTTCCCATTGGAAGGTAGACAGGCAGCCTCTCTCACAACCTTGAGAACTTCAGCAACTTCTGGGCTGCCTTTAATTATTAATGATTGTCAATGAGTCAGGGCTTCCTGGTACTCTGGTAGACAGCCACTGTTCTCCAATACAAACAAACGAACAATAACAAAAAAAAAAAAAAAAAAAAAAAAAAAAACAATGGGCAATGCATTCCCCTTGGAACAAAGTAATAGGGATAGTAAGAGAATGGTCAAGAATTAGGGTCTTGCACTTTGGGAGGCTGAGGCAGAAGAATCACAAGTTGGAGTTCCATCTAGACAACTTAACAAGATCCTATCTCAAAAGCGCTGGGGATACAGCTTGGTACAAAGGACCTAGCAGCACCCCTACCAAAAATCATTAGGATCTTACACATTGTGTAATTAGTCTCAAAGATACTTCCCAGAATTCACCCTCTCACATGGTCCTCTCCTACACTGAGTCCAGGAATGCAGGCAGCTTCAAGAAAGCCCAGCACCTCTACTTTTAATGTGGATTCTTGAGACCTAGCCACCACACAGATGTATGTCCTCGCCAGTCATGTGTAAGGGAACACGAAGACAGAGAATCCAGCCCACAAAAGTGCCACACGGCTAAAGCTGCATCAGCTGTTCTAGCTCCAGGTGCCCTCTGACTACGAGATATGACTGAAAATTTTTTTTATTTTTTAAAAACTATATTAGAGTAAAAGGCTTACTGCCATTAATCTCCCTCAAAATACTATTCTTCACTTCAAACACATTTATCATTCTTGCCATTTCCTAAAGCAATTCTGGAAGTCTTCTTTTATGTCTTTAGTTATACTACCTCAATGTCCTGAATCAATTCAAAACCTTTACCTTTCGTGGTTATTTTGACTCTGGGGAAGAGCCAGAAGTCATATGGTGCCAAATCTGGTGGATAAAGTGGATGAGGACACACTGTAACGTTCTTACAAGCCTGTCTTTCTTTTGAATGTCACATAACAATAGCATTCACTGTATTTTTTATTGCCCCTTATAAAGACACTTGTACAACTACATTACGGACCAGAACTGCATGCTACATCTAGTTAACCCCCAGACACACAGGAAGTAATAAAAGGATGTGGCTTGAAGTCACTCATCCTTTGGGTAGTCAGTTATGCCACAACAGGGATCCCATAGACATGTACCCTATAAACCAATCCTCTCTCAAGGAAGAGGAAGAAATCAGCTAACAACAGATAAAGGTAAGGTATACACCTCACAGATACAAGACTTATTTCTAAGTCCTATATCTTAATAGAATTAAAGTTTGAGTTAAGAAATTACCAATCTAAAGACAGATAAAACAAGTAGACAGCTTTAATACTTATGAAAAACAGTATACAGAGGAAGATAAAAATAATTTATGCACACTGAAAATATAAATAGGTTTGTATATCCAATAAAATTTACCAAGCACATTTCATAGGCTAAGCGTTGTGCCAGATATTCAATAAATATAATCTCATTTAATTCTCAAAACAGCATTCTTAGGCAGAGAGTAATACTTCCTCCCACTTTACAGATGAAGAAATAGGGCTCTGAGAGACTAACTGACAACAGCTGTCAGATGAATGCTAGTAGTGCTGCTATGAAGAAAGCGAGAGGAATTTATGAAAACAAATCTTGTGCCACTATAATAAAACTAAAGGATTGACAGCTTGGTTTCTCTAATGTGCTAGGAATATTAGCCACAAAAAGATCAATTATTGTGCAGGAAGGGAAAAGAGGAAATAATGTGACAGTTACAAGGAAGTCAGATTCCTGGTAAAAGGTGGGTGTTTTTAGAACTACTACCTTTTATCAGCCAACCAATATAAAACAACATAACAGCATAAAGTCAGTTCCCTGTGAGCTTAAAAGAGAGAAACAGTGACCCAGTAGCATCTTCCACTAAAGACAACAATCTAGTGAGAAAATAATGTGGAAGAAAACTAATTAAGTTCACTGAGACTATTTGAAAATATTGCTCCTGGAACGGCTGTGTTTACTTAGTGATGCAGAAGTGGATGTTCACGGTTGATCTGGTGCCTGCCTGCTAATGCAGAAAAACAGACTCTTGAAATTGTAGCTAATTACCTGTGGTTTGGGATAGCTGTATCTTTAGCAGTTTTGTGAGTGCTCTAGGCAGCTGACCACTAGGAAGTGGCATTTGGCTGCAGAAGAGTTTCCACACCAAATGCCACTCTTTACACAGAGGCACAGTAATTGTTATGCCACAGCCTGTCCACTGACAGAGTATCAAAAATCCCATTTCTGTTGCAGGTGCAATGCAGTCTTTCCACAACTTTTATCAAAAAGGGGGTCCAACAATTAACCTCTGCACTCACAATTGGGGCACTCACAAGATAATAAATGCAATTTTAAAGGCTTTAGAATTTAAAAGTACAGATGCTCTTTTATGTACAGTGAAGTCACATCCCAATAAATTCATCATAAATTAAAAATATTGTTAGCCGGAAAGTGCATTTAATCCTCCTAACCTACTGGACATGACAGAGTATGTATTGTTTATGGTTACAATGGAATGGCTGACTGGGAGATAGGATATCACAAGAGTATATACCTAGTATATATACTAGTCCAGGAAAAGGACAAAATTCAAAGCATGGTTTCAATTGAATGTGTCATTTCCACATCATCAATAGGTTAAAAAAAATTGTAGTTGGAATCATCTTAAATTGGGAATCATCTCTACTTTCAAATGTTTTCACATATATTCTCAATTTATTTTCAAAACAGTTCTGTGAAACAGGTAGAATAGACATCCAGCATTTTTAAGGTAGATTTTTTTTTTTAATTAGAAGAGATCAATAAAACTATGGCAACAAAAATGAAATGAGTGACTCTGAGCTGAAACTAAATACAGAGTAGTGTATAACCACATCTGTCCAAGATGTGTCCACCATGAGGACTCACACTAGCAACACACACTACACTGTTTAGGGAACTTAGGCCAGCTCCCATAATAGTTCTGAACAGTTACAACTCACTCCAAAAATATTTGTATATCCAAGACTTCAAAAACCCAAGGCCTCTCGGAAAAAAATGGAAGGAGGGAATCACCTCTGTCTTTGATCTCGTTTCCTTTTGCCTTCACACAAAGAAACTGAATATCAGTATGCTAGAATTTAATACGGCTCAGATTCCTATGCAAAGAAGTAGGTTATGTATATGTGTACTCAGCGGCCTGTCCTCTGACTTAAGGGTGCCCACACACTGCCATGTTGGTTCACACTGTGAAGGACTGGCCTGCACAAAGACCTGAGTGGAACCAGACCATGACACAATTAAAGCAGGGAATTCTGAAGCCCTCAACCTGTTATCCAGAAGAATGAATGTGGACTCCAGGATCAGAATAAGCACTGACATGGAACCCATGGGCTCTTTGACCTATGGGACTGAGGATCTAGGCAGAGAGGAGCCACAAAAAACCCTCTAAGCCACAGGGCAGGGAGCTCAAGTTGCCCACCACTAAAGGCAATGCTGGATATTCTGCCTCTCACATGACAAATACAGCTACAATCTCTACCTGACTGAGTAGTTGCTAGGAAACATCACTCTAAATGCCCACTGATGGAAGGTTTGAATTTTAATCAAGTCAGATTTGAGTTAATTTTAAATAATTATGATGGATATTCTATATGGAAGTACTTCAAAAATCATATAGCTTTTAAGTCATCATCATGAAAAATTAGTAGAACATAAACAAGTAATAGTATACATCTCACTGGAGAAATAACTTTGGGTAAAATAGAGGAATATTTACAGCAAGTCCCTGACTTACAAACAAGTTCTGTTACAGGAGCATATTTGTAAGTTGGATTCATGTGTAATCCGACAAAGTGAGTTTTATATAGTACACTTGTGAAATTTATACAGTACACCTAGGAAAGTTCACAACTTGAATATTCATAAGTCAGGGACTTACTATACATACAGGTTTTGGGTTTTTTTGTTGTGTTTGTTTGTTTGTTTGTGTTTGTTTGTTCACAACTTGAATATTCATAAGTCAGGGACTTACTATACATACAGGTTTTGGGTTTTTTTGTTGTGTTTGTTTGTTTGTTTGTTTGTTTGTTTGTTTGTTTGTTTGTTTGAGACAGGGTCTCACTATGTAGTTGAGACTGATCTGGAACTCACTATGTAGCCCAGGCTGGTCTCGAACTCACAGCAATCCTCCTGCCTCAGCCTCCCGAGTGCTGGGATTACAGGTGTGTGCCACCATGCCCGGCTACATACAGGTATTATTTGATAAGAACACAAGTCTACAATCCCAATGAAGGCTAACCCTTTAGACTTAGAATACCGTACTTATCAATGGCTGATTTTTAAAATGCCCCCAGTATAATTTTCAGTAGTTTAGAAAGCCAGAGTATTACTCCCAAAGACAGGATATATTTTAAGCATATTCCTGAAGAAGAGCTTTCTATTTGAGAAGTTT